AACGATCCTTTAACACCTATTTTCTGCAATTGCCCGCATCTCATGAAATGCTCAGAAATTTTTCAAAGTTTGAACAGCCAAGCTGAATGATCCAAAAAAATGGTAGTATATGGAAACAAGACTGCTTGTACATCAGAGCGAAGCCTTGAATGTTCCGACTGCCCTTTAAAGTCGATTCAAAATTTTTGATTGAAAAGTTGCGACATAGTAGAAAAAAAATAAAACGTTTTTTGCTAATTTTTTTCTTCACTTTATCCCCCCACACGCTAACATAAACCATGAAGTGATGAGTTTAGTGTCTTGTAATCTAAAAATATAACCAAATGATATACCGCTTGCACGTGTTATAAGAATGCAATATAACGCTCGTTAACTGTCCTAAATTGGCCAAATTAGCATTTTTCAAAGCCCGATAACACCACAAAAAATGCTAAAAAGTAACAATTAACTTTTAAATTTGAGCTCAAGTTTACAATATTTTCTAGATGGTATAAAAAATATATCAAAAATCGCCAAAAAAGAAGTCGAAAATTGACTAAAAAAACCACAACAAGCAAAAATATTCCGCACTTTCATCGAAAGTCGAAACAGTTAAGAAGATGTTTCAAATAACGCGGCACGGACGTGTGCACGGAGTGATTATTGTTTCGATTTTCAAAAAAAAAACGGAATTTATGCTTGGTTTGGTTTTTTTATTCAGTCAACTTTTGGCGATCGAGATAATAGTTTTTGACAAAAAAAACCTTTTACCCCATTGAAGATTTTGGTTATCTGAAATCAAACATAAAAAGATATTCGACCTTCCATTATTTTTTGCAATGTTCTGAGACTTTGAAAACTTTCAATTTGGCCATGCTCCGGACTAATTTATGCGCGTTCTGAAGATGTTTTTCAAAATGCTGAAAGCGTAAAGCGAATTATGTATGCGTGGCAAATTATCTACCACGACAAATTGTTTCCAAATTGAATTGAGGCTAGCTAATCAGTCTCCTATTAATATCTAATGATTCAAATAATTAAATTTTAATTTTTGATTTTGCCCAAAATGTATGTAGTTTTTGAATACTTTTTTTCCAAAAAAAACTATTCGATTTGGATTAAGGGGCAGTCGGAAAATTCAGGCTTTTGCCCTGATATACGAGCATTCTTGCTTTTCATAACAAAAATTTCGGATTTTCGAATAACCATTTTGGCTGAATGTTCTTCTAATGTCTAAAAAAAATTGTTACAAAGTGCTCAAATTCGAAAAAAAGTTCAATTTGAGACTATTTGTTCCTGAACAAAGAAAGTTAAAAAGTTAACTTTGGGACTACTTAAACTGTCGTAAGTTATCTAAATTAAATTTCCGAGGTCTCCCAATGCACTAAAAAGACCCTGTTTTAAGCAAACTCTCTGCGCCGCAGGCACAACTGTAAAAAAAAAACAAGTCAAAAATAGCGTTTTCAGGCACTTTTTGGAAATTTTTGACCGTAAAAATTTGCGATTTTTTTTGGCCCGTGTTCCTCTCTCCAAATCCGCCTCTGGTATGGGGCAAATGATTTTTTCAAATTTCTTAATTTCAGCGCTGGGCTTAGTACGAAGTGATAAATATTTTGCGTGCGGTAACTTAATGAAAAAGCAAACTGCGTGCCGGTGTATAAACAGGCGGGCGGATTAGCATGCGGCAATTATATTTCTACGCATGTAACTGTTGCAACGAGCAATAAGCCCTGTACCAAAAAGCGATGCAGCGATGAAACTATTTTTCGATCAACCCGACTTGTAAAATTTTCGGCAAAAAATTAAGCGCAGCATGGGGCATTGACATCAATTCGATTATGATTTCAGGTTTTAGTTTTTGCATAATTGATTTATTGCTCTAGCACTGTAATTTAACACTTATAACCTAAAGACTATAATTTAGGCTTAATCCGGATGCAATTATGATATAAGACAAATAATCGACATTTCAATTAAGCGAATTTATTCAAAAGTGGAAGCTATTGCATTGTAAATTACCAACAATATTTCAACTTCTCAACTCCATTGACTTCCATCGAATTTTGGTACAATCATACCAGCAAAAACTCTATTTATAGAATGAAGAACTGTAAATAAGGAAACTTGGAAGGAGACTGTAAAAAACAACACTGGAAGGGTATTATTATATATATATTTATTGATAATAGATTTTCTCTAAAATTTCCCTACATGTTGAAAAATTTATTATCTATACTTAAAAATAATAGACTTTCTTAAAAATTTACCCCCCCCCCCCCACGAGATACGGAAAAAATGCACGTAAGAGAAACTATGAAAGTTTGCACATTTTCTTACAATTATTACCACCAATGAAATTTTCTTGTTATTTATCTAACAACAAGACACATTACAAAACTTAAAATTCTTTTCGAAAAATTATTTTAGAAAAACATCTTATTTTGGTTTTTCAGAATCAAAAGGGATAATTTCTAACAAAAGAAATAAAAAATCTTTTATCTGTAGAGAAATTACGTCATGTCTGACCAGGTACAGTCATGTCTGACCAGGTATAGTCATGTCGAACCAGGTATAGTCATGTCTGACCATGTATAGTCATGTCTGAATCAGGTAGTCTGCAAACGGCAATGTTTGCGGATGTGATCACATGCGAAACAGATATGTCCAGAGGGGGCAGTACAAGAGTGTCGAAAAAAATGAGTTCAACAGTGCCGAAAATGAAAACTTTGTTCAACAGTGCTGAAAATATGAAAAAATTTGCAACATATTAAGTGCGGCAATCAAAAATTGAACGGCGAACATTTACAATCTTAAGTGACACTTAATGATTTTGAGCGAGAAAATTTGCAATTTAGAGGTTTTGGCGCGAAAATAATTGTTTAATTTGCAGTTGCAGACATTTTGGCGCCAAAATTGGAGTGATTTTCTTTGATTATCAGCGTCAGTAATTTCCCGCTCTTTGAAAATGCGTTTAAATTATTCTGAAGTTTTCCCGCCTTTTTCCGCACTGCTGTACTTCGGCACTGTTAAACGCCCCTGTTCAGAGCTGGAAAACAGCTAATGTCTGAAAAATATATGATCAGACGGGAAATTTTGGAAAAAGTTCAGTACGCGTGGCTACTTTGCCAGGGTCTAGGACAACAGGCCGACGGGACTTCAAGCCGAAGGGACTTCAAGCCGAAATTAGAACTTCACAAGTACATCAAAACACTATTTTATCATCTGTTAAACGTTGCTTTTCAAAAATTTAGGCAAGTTTAGTCCATCAAATGCGTTATTCATGACAATGCACCACTTGGGATTGGCATCCGTTAATAACATCAGCCGGTTTTTGAAATGCATAAATTAAAAACATGAAAAACGCTTTCAACCGTGTTTTATTTTTCAACTTTCCTAAACATCATTTGGAGGATAGGTTTTTATGAAAACGCCAATAACTAGTGAAGAAAAATCCTGAAATTCTTCAATAGAATTTTCAAATTAATCATATTTCACAAGTCCCTAATTTGACGATTCGACTTGAAGTCCCGTCGGCTTGATAATCGGCACCCACTCTGCCAATGCTGCATAGGATTGAATTTTGTCAACGCCGCGTTTGAAATCAAAATGTGGCGTTTGAAATGAAACTTGCCGATGCCACGATTAAATAAATCAAAAAGGAACTGTTCCAAATGCGGGTGCCGGACATCATGCCGACGGGACTTCAAGCCGAATTGTATAATTAGGGACTTCAAGCCGAATAATTCCTTATAAAGTTGTGAAATATGAACAATTTGAAAACTTTTTTAAAGAATTTCTGAATTTCATGACCTTTCTTCACTAGTTATTGGCGTTTGCATATAATTTAAGCTTCCAAATGATGTTCCGGAAAGTTGAAAAGTAAAGCATGGTTGAAGGCGTTTTTCATGTTTATAATTTATGCATTTCAAAAACCGGCTGATGTTATTAACGGATGCGAATCACAAGTGGTGCATTGTCATGAATAACTCTTAGTATGGACTAAACTTGCCAAAATTTTAGAAAAGCAACATTTTGCAGATGATAAAATAGCGTTTTGGGGTGCTTGTGAAGTTTTAATTTCGGCTTGAAGTCCCTTCGGCTTGAAGTCCCGTCGGCTTGTTGTCCTAGACCCCCAAATGCACATGCTGGTCGACTCACATGCAGATCGGTACGCCTCATGCGGAATGACTCAATTTGGAGCTCGGAATGAAAAAGTTAAAACTTTTCTTTCGGCTACTTTAACCATGTTCCACCAAAAACGCTGTCATCGTCTTGAGCAAGCAAAAAGGCAAACAAAATTTTCAGAGCTTTGTCCTGATAAGCAGTCTTGAATTAGAAGAACAGTTTTAATTATAAAATAGTCTTTTTTTATCTGGATCTCAAAATAAATAGGCAAATTTTCAACGCACGGTAGAATGCTTGCAAGATAGAAAACGTTATAAAAATTGAAAACTAAAGACTGAAGAAAAAACAAGACTTAGGGTAACAACAAAAAAAAGTTCTTCAGATTTGCAGCCGTTAATTTCCGCTTTCGTCAGGATCAGTCGGATATATTCCAAATTGTCTTCTGTACTTTCTCCGCTGACGCTGATTAACCGAATTAAATTTAATCGAGTGAGAAAAATCCCCCCTCTAGTTTTTTCTGGAATTTTTTTTACAATCCAATTGTTTTGAGCTTCCACGTTTGAACTAAATGTAGCAATGTCACAACTGTCCATGAATTCTGGATAAATCTGAGTCAGTATAGTCGATAGTGGATTGATGAAAAGTTTACTTTTGTCCTCACACGTTAGTCTTTAAATACGGATTATCAAATGATGCTGAAATGCAAGTTATTTGTGATGAAAATTTCAAAAAATAAAAAAACTGCAAACTAGCAACAAAAGCGGTATAGCCTATGCCAAGTCTATATGCGGGACCGAAATACAGCAAGCGCATAGAAGTCGCGAAAAATTGCGACGGTTCCGGAAAGTGGCGACTTGAGTCGCGCGAAGTTTGTTCAAAAGATATAAATTTTTTACCTCCCAGGGTGAAATTTTGGGTGATGTTCTCGTCGACTGTGGGCACGTACTCCTCTGGACACCTGGCACCCGACATGCGACGCATGATGCTCGTCTTGCCCACTCTCTCGTCCCCAAGCAACGCCACGGTGTAGGAGCCCATCCTGGACAGATCGGTTGATATGCAAAGACCCCCCACCGATGGCACACATAATGACGACGACATGATGCAATAACGATGATGCAATAACGATGATGCAACAATGATGATATAATAGTGATGTTATGCAATGAATAACTGCGTCGAAAATCTAGAATTTCCACCTAGATGAAATTCTTCATCGGTAAGACAATGTCTATTTAAAAATTATATTAAATTCTGCTGGTGGTGGTAGGTGAGACTTAAAACCTTTATTTTTATATTAAAAAGAAATGTAATATATTCAAATAATCGAATGGAATCTGGAATAGGTATATGAATTTTGGCAGGAACGGGAAAGTACAGTAATGATAGTGATGATGGTTAAAGGGGTTTCTTTTTGACGAGATATGATAGGATAATTCCTCAAATTTCCTAGGTCATCTTCTCTTCTGACCTGAATTGGGAGGACGTAATTTAATGACCGATATTAATTTTAAGCAGTGAAATAGAAGCGAGCTGTCTTTATCCGCGCTTGATTCACCTAATGGAAAAGTAAATATAGCGGCAAGACGTCGAAATGGTCTTTTGCGTTTTGAACATGAAGGAAATTTTTTGCAATGACTCTTTTTGAAAGATGTAAAGAAGCTCAATTATTAAAAGGACCAATTATTGAGAGGATCAATTATTAATCTTCTCAGACTTAGAGCAAAAGTTGTGCTTGAATGGCACAATATTTATGATGTGTCTAAAAATTCAGAATAGAGAAATTCAAGAAAAAATCGTTTGAAGTTTTTTTCCAGCGTTGACTTTTGTCCTTTTTCCTTCTGTTGTTTGTCGATCTGTTCAGATATTAGGTAGTTCTACTTTATTTTAAGGTAATTTTATCTTAACTTTTTTGTGCGAACAATTGAGTTTGTTTTGCAGCAAAATTGAGACGTTTTTTCCCCACCAAATACGCAATTTGCTGGGAAATGCATTAAAAACGATTATCGGATTTATGTAAGCGCTTTAACCTAATGATAAGTGAAGACAGGAAAAACTGGTACAACTTGATACTCTAATTACTATTTCAGCCTGACAATAAGCGACATTTTATCGAGTCAACAAAAAAACGGTGGAAGTTGTGCGTCATTTTCAGTCAGTTACTGCTGTTTTTTGCTTAGTAAATGCTTTGGAATGAGATGGCCGCGTTATAAAAGACGTGAACAGAAATAATTAATATTTTGAGAGTAACAGAAAAACGGCTAACGCAAAAAAAAATCAAATCCACTCAGCTCGGTTGGCTTAACATCAAAGGTCGCCTTTGGCGCCAATAAAGAGTAGTTCCGAGGGTGGAGGGCAGGGGCGGATTAAGGGTGGGGCGGGGGGGGGGGGGGGTAATGGCGGACGCTTTCCCTCACCTCAGGGATACGACCCCCTGCCGACCCAAAGGGTCCCTCCTTTGGTACTTTTTAAGAAATCCATTTTTGGCCGACCTTCGGCGCAAATATATATTAAATTTGAGGGGGAGTGCGCTCCAAAAAAACGCATTTTTTGTCAAAATTTTCCAAAAAGTGCCCAAAAACAGCTTTTTTGACCTGTTCTTTCAAAAGTTGGCCTGCGACGCAGAAAATTTGGCCAAAACAGCGTCTTTTTAGTGCTTTAGGAGAGCTCGGAAAGTTAATTTGATCGACCTAAAAAAAATGAATTTTTTTTGAAAATCCCCCCTCGAGAAAATCCTAGATCCGCCCCTGAGGGGGTGGTAGCGCGTTAAATTCCTGAGGGGGTGGTAGCGCGTTAAAAATGCACGATTTATATGCCAAAACCTTTCAAAAGTGCTCGAAGACAGCTTTTTTGTTTTTTTTTTCAAAAATTTGCCTGCGGTTTAGAAATTTGTACAGCTCGGAAAATCATTTTGGTCGACTTAAAAAAAATTCAACAATTATCTCGATTTTTTAAAAACACCCCACCCCACTCCCTCGGGAAAAACCTAAATCCGCCTTTGGTCTGCTTTTTTTCTCTTTTTTATAATGTCAGTACGACATTTCTTTTTTTTAATTGAAAATAGCCGTATTTAGAAAAAGGCCGTTAAAAATGTATGACGAATACGCAACTTTAATTTAAAAAAGTACATTTTTTGAAGTTTCAGTCTATGCAATCGAAGAGTAAAAATATGCGGATGTAATATTAGATGATTTTATATACATGCATTTTCCCATTTTGAGAAGGGATGTCAGTTCAGTTTACAAGTTCCCATAATTCAGAGATATGCTCTTAACTACAAAGGCTTTTAGCTGAAGATAAATTTTGCAAAAAGATAATTCAATATTCCTTTAGAAGGGTTTGTTGGGGGAAACAAACCATTTGACCCAGCCAGGTAGTTGGTGAGACTTTAATTACAAAGTATGAACAGAATAGGTGACCTTTTTTTCAGGATGTGTAGATTGTTGGGAGGTACACGGCGCTCTTGGTAATAACAAGATTAAAAGGTAATCATCACCAGACAATGCAATCAATACATCAACATGATACCAATTTACCAATTCCTGCTGCTGCTAAATTTTGTAAGCTTCACAAAATGGAAATCTTTTAAGAAAAACAAGTCAATAGTTCTGCAGCAGATGAAAAATTGATGTGCATTTGTTTAGATCGTGACAAGTTTCCAGAAATAAAAAAAATAATTATAATTTTCACAAAAAAATAATAATAATAGTTCATAATATTTTTATTTTCAAGCCAAAAATTATAAGCATACATTCTATGAAATTTTAAGTTTACAGAAAATTTTATGAAACAAAACAAATGTGATTACTACAGATGATAAAAAATTTTATATAAAAGATTATAAGGTTATAGAACTAAAATGTTCAAGTTAAAATGCATGAACTGTTCGAACTAATTTTGCGGCCTTCGGGTTATTCGACTATCTGATCTGTGCACGGCATTCCGCGGGGATAAATCACAAATTAAAAACAAAGGCGTAGGTTTCGTTTTGCGTGCAAATTGAATCATGAATCCCCGCTTGGTCAATTTGTTTTTTTTTATGAGCTGAGATATAGTTGGCACAATTGTTTAAACACATCCGTAGATTGAATTTCTAAGAAGCAATTTCCTTGTTCTCGGAAGCCAATTTGAGACCAAAATTTGTATACAGGAGAAGCTATGCGCCATTTGAAAAGACAAATCCTCTTCAGTCAATTAAAACAAAACGCACTCTGCTGCATTTTCGAACTCTTCTGCATTTTCGCGGTGGCCTTTTGTAAACCCGGGTTGAAGCTGCATTGCAATTCAGAAATTCATCATAGGTCTTTCATTTTTTTGCATACATGTATCATTCATGTTGCAGTGCCACTTTAACGATGTTCATCCATGGTGTAAAAATTTGAGTTCTACGAAACTAATACGACCAATTATCTTGCCTCAATTCAATTTGGACGCATATTGTTGAGCGGGATAATTCGCCACGCAAAAACATTTGTTTTTAAGTTTTCAGCATTAATCTTGTTATTCCGACTTTCGTAACGAAAGTAGCGGGATATTTGTGCTCGAGAAGCTTTTTTTTCCTTCAGACAAATTTCGACTTTTTCAATAGCCATTTTTGACAAAAGTTTTTTTTTATTATTCATTTTTCCTGAGCTTGAAATTGAAAAAATATTTGCCCAAAGATCAATTTTTGTAAAGTAATAGGGGGTTAAACATAGTCATTTTGGTCAATTTGGGGCAATTAACGCGCGATATATTTCGTCCTATTAACGCGTAAGCGGAGATTTAATCCGTCTTAGAAATCGCTCCAAATTGGTTGAAAGAAGCTTATTTGCCATAATTGATTTGTTACTAGGAGCAAAATTTATCACTTTAAACTTAATATGGCGTGTGGGGTGATGATTTTTGCAAAAATCCTAAATTTAAAAATATTTATTTTATTTTTTTTAGTTTATTTTTTCTTTTTTTTTCTTTTTTTTTACATTGCATACATGTTATTTCTACTCCATAGACCTTAAAAGGCAGTCAGAACATTCAGGGCCTCGCCCTGATACAAGCAGTCTTGTTACGCTTTCAGCATAATTTAGTCCAGAATATGGCAATATTGGCAATATTCAAACTTCCAGAACTTTTTGAAAAAATAAGCAGAGGTAAATATCTGTTAATATTTGGACTCAGGAAACCAATATCTTCAAAGGGTTTAGTTTTTTTTTGTTGAAAATTATTATTTGGATTGCCGAAAATTGACTAAATAAATTTCCGCATATTGACTAAATAAATTGCCGAAAATTGACTAAATGACCACACCGAGCATAAATATTCCGATTACAATGAAAACTCTCCGGTAACAAGAAAATTGGTTCGTGGTTGTTGTTTTGATTCATTTTGAATTGATCTGGGAAGAAAAACAAGCCTTCTAACTACCAACGCTAGTATATTTCTATTTTTTTGCGGAAAAAATGCGTTTTTAAATTGTTTTTGCTGATTCTTAGCTGTGGGGAGATGCTTCAGTTTATTAAAAACTACACATTCTTTTCCATTTTCCAATCTAAAATGCCCTGTTTCTAGACAAAAAAAATCGAGCCTTCCAACTACCAAAACTAGCATCTTTCAAATTTTTTGCGACAAAAAACTGAGTTCTTAGGTTGTTTTTAGCTTTGGGGATGAATAGAAATTTTGAACGAAAAAATTTCTTTTGCAGTTTTTCAAAGAAAATCAACCATTTCAAAACAAATTCAGTTACTCAAGACCAATTTTTCCCAGGCCTAACCGTGTCAAACTGAACTTTTTGCAAAAAAAAAACGCGCGTTCACGTAGTTTCTAGCAGATTTTTATACTGTAAAGCCATTTCAATCGTTTTTTATCGTTTGTAACGACACGCACAAAAAACTTTAGAAACAAATCGAAACTTCGTAAAAATTGAAATTTAGTTTAAACATGGATGTAAAATAGATGTTTAATCGATGTAACATCAATGTAACAACACTGTCATAATATAGATGTCACATCGGTGTTTCATCAATGTCACATCAATGTTTTCGTATTAAGTGACAGAAAAAAAATGAACATAGAAAAAACATAGTTAATCTATGCATTTGGTCAGGTACATTCCTGATACATGTCAAAACAATGCAATGATAATGATACATTCAACTTCGACCAGGGAAATGAATTTATGTTTCTTTTTTTTTTTCGATATGAAATCAGAATATCAGCGACCTCCCAATTAGAATGATTTTTTTTGTAAAGCCAGTTTAATTTGATATTACCATAACTATGCAACTGCCAGTGTCTAGTTTGGCAAAGCTGTGCAAGCACACATAAGGCTAATAAGAGGTTGAGGTGTTAAATTCAAATCCAGTCATAGTCCGGTTGGGTAAAAAAGGGATTCCCAGATTTGCCCCCCCTCCCTCGGCATTTCCGTTTAAACCTTATGATATGTTTTATCATATCAAACAATGTAACAAAAAAATTTAGTTTGATTTAAAGTAAACAAGTCAAAAAACTTGATAAATCATAGAGACGGCAAATTTTTATTTTTTTCAGAAAGTTTCTCAGCTTTTTCTTTTTTGTGTGTGTGTTGCAGAGGATTGAGTGATACTGAAAGCTCAACGCGCATTATTTACGAGTGGGGAGTCATCCCGTACCACAAAGTAGTTCCAAATTCAATTTAGGCAGGCTATTTGATCTTATTATTCGTTCCAAACACGATTCATAATATTCAGCTTAAAATGCATAGTTTGTCAAAATTTGCATTAACAGAAGACCAATTTATGCATAGTCGGATCATTAAGCTTTGCCCTCGTACGAGCAGTCTTTTTGATGAGTGAGCGGAGATTTAATATGCCTTAGAAACTGTTTCAAATTGCTTGGAACATGCTTGTTGTTATAGTTACTACGATACTAGGAGCGAAATTTTATCACATTTTGCACTTAATACGGCGTGTAGAGGGATGATTTTAGAAAGATCTCAGAAAAGGAATTAAAAAACTACTCCATAGACCTTAAAAAGCAGTCAAAACTTTCAGGGCTTTGCCTTGTTACGAGCAGTCTTGTTGAGCATAAGCCATTTGTTCGAACTTTTGGAGAAAGTGTGAATTTTTTTTTTTATTCAGTCAGTTTTCAAACTGTTAACTAAACGTTTGACGGCATTCTCATACCATATGGAAAATATTGTTTTCTTCAGCGCAAATTTAAAAAAAAAAACTTGACCTGTGATAATTTTTGTGGCGGATTCAAAATTGCTATTTGAGATAATTAGCGCCCGATCTATGCGTTTTTATAACTGTTATAACACGCGT